ATACCACATTCACTTAACTCATATTACAGTATATTGTTGTAATTGCTCTATTTTATTATTGGTTATTATTCATATCTTGCTGTGCCTAATTTATAAATTAAACTTTATCATGGGCACGTATATATAGGAAAAACAAAATATATAGGGTTCGGTACTATATGTAGTTTCAGGCATCCTTTGGGATTCTTGGACTACTTACTGCATGTGATATGTGCTGAAACTATATCCATCCATCCATGACGCCAAGATTCTTCTAAAGCATCACAGAAAAGGTTCCTTTACCTTAGAAGTTCTTTTTGATTAATTTAATCAAAAATATGAGTCAGGGAAAAATCCTTAGGCCCTGTACATGGATCTGGGGTATCCAGATTCTCAGCAGTTCTTTGCTGTTTGAATCTTTGTTATAGACAATCAAATCCATTTCATCCCAAATCCGATCTACCCAAAAGCTCACAGACCCAGTTTTCTTTCCCGCCCCCACAATGATCAGGGATATTCATTTCTCTGTCCTGTGATGCTGTGACACTCTGAGGGTTCTCCTGTGAGAAGGGGGAGGCTAAAGGGTTTCCACAGCACCAGGGCATATGAGCAGGTGGAGAGGACAATGTCCCCAGATGTCTGTGGATCAAGCCAGTTGGTGTGAGCAGTGGACACGATATATCGTGTCATACAGATGGCTGTCTGAACCCTGGTGATGTGCATGGAGCACGTAGTTCCTAAGCCAGAAGTCAGGACACATGCGGCATCACATTTCTAAACAGTTCAGGCCTCCTAGTCACCATGAGTTTACATGGGAGATCCCCACGGACTAAAATGGCAATCAAATCAGAATTCGCCACCTATGCAAACATTCGGGACAGTGGGGGCTGCCTGGGAGAACTGCAGACTCAGATATTTGACTTCAGGGCAGTTGGTTGGTAGCAGATTTCACACGTGTGACATGTCATGGACACTCAGGAGTAGCTCTGGATGATGATGATGATGGTGATGAAGGTGAGGATGGCAGTGACATTGGTCTTCCAGTTCCTAGGTTAAAATTTGAAGCTGGATCCTCCAGAGAGGCCATTTACATGTTTTATCCACATGAGTGTTTATAAACACCAGAGGGAAAGAGAATGAGCTATTCTGGAAAACAATTGAGGCCAAAAGGAGAGAATACATTTGTGAATTCACACTTGGCCAGTATGTACCAAGTGACCACTGGGTGCCAGGAACGCGCCCCACACCCTGCTGCAGCCGGCACTGTCCCACAGGCCTGTGAGGCAATGGAGATGAGTGTCTTTGGGTTTGGAAACTGAGGCTCAGGGAGTTTAGTGTCTTGTCCAAGTGCTCAGAACCACCACACTATCCCCAACCCTCAGCACATGCCCCACGATCTAGCGATTCCAGGTCCCCTAGAGCTCCTCACGTAGCAGACTGACCCTATCCCATGGTGAAGGCCTCTCGCGGATTGTGCCTTTCCTTCTGGTCAGTGGAGAAGGCTTTCCATCCCCTCAAACCCAGCTAGACAGACAGTAGGGTCCAGTCAGGAGACAGAAACCACTCAGTAGGTCAATCAGGTAAAACTTAACATGAAGGCTTATTCCCTGTGGTAAAAGAGTAACTGTGAGATATAAGAAACACTCTGTGGTTCTCTCTGGCTGAGGGTGTGTGCCCAAGAAAGGACAAACATTCGAGGTGTGGCTCATGGTTCAGCCCACTGGATAACGGAGATGTTGGCCAGGCCCGAGCCAATCTAGAGTTGCTAGGCAAACAACAGGCCACCCTCTCAGTGTAGGTGGGAGAGCTGGTGCTGACCTAGGGAGTCCAGGTGCCTGTGGGGACAGGAGGCCTGCAGAGTGCACAGGTTGTACAGGCCCTGGCTTCCATGCAGACAAAGCTGTGGAAAGGTTATTGCCACGTGAAGACTGCAAGTCACAGAAGGACCATGTTCTGGGCTTCCCTAGATGTGTACACCCCCCCACCCCCACCCCACCCCCTGACCTAGGTCACTGGCAGGAGAGCCTCTTCGCCCGCACCCCTTGGGGGCCCTCCAATGAGAAAGCTCAGCACCTGCTCACCTGACAGGAGAACTGGCTGCAGGAGTCCAGTGTATTGCAGAGCAATGGGGCATCAGAAGCTGAGGCTATAAACTAATAACAGCCAGCCAGAGCCATCTCCAGGGTGCCCACCACCCACCCCGTGTAAAGAACCACCCTCTCCCCTCTGCAAAGACGGCGCCTTAGCCGAACCTGTCTGCTCATTGCCGGGCACTCGTCCCTCCCCTTCCCATCCCGCTGGCCCTCAGCCAGCTCTCCAGTGCTATTCGCTGCCTGGACTCGCTCTGTGATGGGCAGGGTCCCAGCCCGTTGGTGATGAAGGGGTGCTCCCTGGGGGAACAGATTGTAGTATACCTGGCCTCCTTGTCTTGTTCTACTTCAAAAGATCCATTTGTAGAAACTTCAGAGGTCAGAGAGTGTGAGTGTTTGCTGGAATTTGTTAGACTCTGTTAGCTGCAGGTGCAGGGGTGATGCTGAGCCCTTTTATCTTCCAAACCCAGGACTTAAGAAGCCAGCAAATACCCTTTCTAGACTGACGCGTGGAGGTGCAGAGTAGCATTTTCTTAAATCGTCTCTCCTTTTTCATCTAACAGGTGATAGGAATTTGGATAGAGATATCACTTTATTTTCTTTTTCAAGTTCACATTGGATTATAGCTCATCTTTCTGTATAAGGGCAATGCTCATATATCCTGGAGGCAAAATTCAGAGACGGTTTCCAGGGCATCCTTTCCAACACGCTTGATCGGTTTTCCCACTGCCTTTTAACGTGCTGTCATTGTGCCGTGTGACCTTCTGCCCACAGGCCAGTGCTGCTGTCACCCACCTGCTGCCTCACTGCCTGGACAGGGGTCCCATTGAGGGCCTCACCCAGGGCTATATGCATGTGCTATCTCAGTGGCAGCTACGAGGTACTGTCTCAGGAGGACCCAAATCTACAAATTGGGACATGCAGTTCAGAGAAAAGTCTCCCACTCTCCCGGGCTAGGATTTCAGGGACTTCTCCCTTTCCTCTCCATTACTCATTTCACCAAGTCCTGGCAAGTCTCCTTGTCCCTTCTCAGTGTGCGTCTCTGGGTCTGAATTACCACGCATAGTCTCATGCCGTGATGCAGGCTGTCAGCCTCCGTGTTATACCTCTTACCTTACCCATCACTCCTTGATTTGTCCTCGATTCACATGTGTAGGTGTTGTCATGACTGGGGACTTGTCCTGGGGAGGTCAGTTGCCTGTGGGATGATACCTGACAGAAACTTAATTGGGATTTGGGTCCTGCAGAGGTGGGGTTGGCACCTTGTCTAACAACCCCTGGTGACTCTAGATCAGCTGAGGATAGGTTTGGTGTTGCATATGGCAGGTGGCCTGAGTTCCCATGTTGCCCACAGTAGGGCTCTCGCTGAGCAGCGAGCAGGTGTCACTGTCATAGTTGCTGACCCATCACTGAGGTCAGGACATCATCAACCAGGCTGCTCCAGCTCAGCTTCCAGGTCCACTAGGAACACTGCAGCAGTGCAAGGCACAGCCTCCCAGAGCAACTTCCACCTGCCACACCAGGCAGGGGGCTCAATGTGGCCCATAGTGGGGACACCGGACCTGGGAGCTGACAGATGGTGTGAAGCAGGGCTGTGGGTACCCAGGCCTCCCCACCTCCCTGTGCCAACCCAGAAACTTACCATGGACAGAACTGGGGGCACTGTGACACCCCATTTCTTTCTTCCTGGATCCTACAATGATTTTTTAAAATCCCTTCTTGGAAAATAGCTCTTAAAGCAAGCAAGAAGCAAACTGGCCTAATAATTTTTATTTTTTGCTTTATTTAGATACATCTAGAATTTTAAAAAAAGAAAAGGCCACAGGGTGTTTGTACAAACTGAATGTCCTGCCAGGCATGTGTCACTTTGGGTTAGCGAGTGCCTTCTGCCACCCTCAGCCAAGCGCCCCCAGCAACACCTCAGCGGACTAGGCATGCACATTCGTTTCTCCAGAGCACAGCAGCACCCTAGGGGGTGCTCCAGTTGGTTGACAGACAGGGTTAGGGGTGAGGGGATCCTGGCTGTGACTCCTGCAGAGCCAGGGACAGGCAGCAGCCTCCGCTTCATCTCTTTATTCACGCTCAGCTCACCGAGTCCAGTGTTCCCAGTTGTTTCTTCTTTTGTCAAGATTCATATGGCCTTGGTCTTCACAAGCAATTCTTTTGGAAAGAAATGCATCTGTAGAGAATGGGAATGAGGGAGTGTCTGTCTGTCTGCTCAGGGTCTTCATGTACTCCTCCCTCAGATCCTCGAGACAGGCCTTCAGGAGTGATGGGGGTCACATCCCCCTGACAGCACTGCAGAGCCCCAGGCCAAAGGGCCATCCTCTTCTCAGAGGAGCAGCACAGCGGTCCAGAGGTCACGAAAAGTCCCAGAATCCAGAACTCTCTTCTCCAGGGGATGTCATCCTAGTTCCCAAACTGTCTCTTTGCACTGTGGTTTTCTAGCCTCTTGTCCACAGAGATGGACGACACGTCCCACTCTGGTTGAGTTCTCACTGCCTGTTTTGAGAGCAGTCATTCCCTGCTTCAATGCATCCCCTGCGGTGGCCCATGACTTACAGAGCTCTTTCTGGGATAATTGCCCTTTGCATTAGTTCCCTGACTCCTATAGAAATATCTGGATCTGCTGGGGCTGGTCCTGACTTTGTGAGACGTCTCCTTTGTAACTGGTGACCTATCTCCCACCTTCCCCTGTGGACTTGAAGCGACTGTCCTCTAACCTCCTCCTCAGGGCCTGTGAGATCAGTAGAGCCCCCACATGGTGATGCTTCTGTGAGCAGCACCTAACCCATCACCCACGTGACTGTGTGGACCTTCAGATGTGCCTGTTCCTCCAGGCGTATTTCAGTCCCTGCTCAGGGTTGGCCTGGTGTGTGCAAGCCCAGGCCCTGCCAGGCCCCGTGTCAGCCCTCTGTGCTTGCTCTGCAGGGCCTGATGCACTCCAGTGGCCCTGTGGGCCGGCACCGGCAGCTGGTCCTGGTTCTGGAGGGGGAGCTCTACCTCATCCCTTTCGCCCTCCTGAAAGGAAGCTCCTCCAATGAGTACCTGTATGAGCGCTTCGCCCTCATCGCCGTCCCTTCCATCCGCGCCCTCGGCCCCCAGTCCAAGGTAAGTCTCCCAGCAGGCCTATGGGTGCCACGCTCTTGGGTCCATGAGGCATGCATGGTCTTTGGCCAGACTGGGCTCTGAAGTGATAGGATGTGCTCTCTTCAAACTGTTAATTGTATAGTGTGCAGCTGGGTAGAATGACTTTAGATCTATTAGAAGGCAAGAGTGTAGCCCTCCTGACCCCTGACAGTTCTTTGCTATTTCAGGAAGCCACAATTTGGGTCATTTATCTTTCAGTTTCTTTGCTGTGACATCAGGGTTGTGAGCTACTCAGAGGCACTAAGCCAGGCTTGAGGCCAGACTGAGTACCTGAGGAAGCTGGTTACCCACGCAGGACCCTAGTGAGGGGTCAAGGCACAGCCAGTGCCATGCTCATCCCACCCTCACGCTGCCCAGTGGAGGGGCCCAGGCAGCAATGGCAGGCAGACAAGAGTAGTGTCAAGTGGAAAAGAGTTCCATAGGCCAACAAAAGAACTGAAAACAAACGAGGCAACTTTCAGGGAACAGGAAAGGTCTCATTCAGCAAAAATGTCAGTATGGGAAGAAACATCTGAAAATGAGGAGGGCAACAGTGGGCCATCCATAGAGTCGCAGGTCTCACCCCAGTCACCCTTAGCCCTGCCCACCTGATTAGGGAGCCGTTTGAGCCAACCCTAAATTATCTTCCCCTTTTCCAAACTCATTCAGAAACCCCAAGACCCTGGCTTCCTTCTGGCCCTTCATGGCCCCATGCTCCCTATCCACCTGGCCCAGTTGCAGGACTGTCATTACCAGCAGGACTTGAACTGCTCCAGCTTCAAACCAGAACATGCCTTCCGGATGCCGGCTGCTCTCAGGGCCCCTCAGACCACCAGGCAGGGCTTGGTCAGATGGGCCTCCTGCGGTGAGAGAGTGTCAGCAGGCTTAAACACCCAGGCCCGGCCCAGGGTGCAGGCGGCCTCCAAGGGACCTGCCTTGACCGTTGGCATAGTTTAAACCAGGTCATTTTCTGCTTCACGGGGTTCTGGAGATCTTAGTTTTGGCTACTTTCGTTGCTGAATCGTACCTTTCTTATGGGACAGAATCAATTCAACGCGAAAGAAATTATTTTCCCTGAGTTTTCCTTCTGTCCTTGGTTGACTAAATCCCAGATGTGAAGTGAGGTGGCCTGGCTGGATGCTGTCCCACACAGGGGCAGGCTCACTGCACCTGCTGCCAGGAGCACCCCGGGGATCAGAGATCACCTCTGTTGAGAGAGCTTCATGTTGGAGACAACAGTGAGCTGGCTGTTTGCCAGTGTCACCAGGAGATGGAAGAGTCTCATCTCCTGACAGGCACCCAACAGGCATTTCTCTTACTGAAAGTTTAAGACATCCCCAAGTGTAAACACCAAAAAGTTATTATTTTTTAATCCTCACCCAAGGATATTTTTTCCATTGCTTTTCAGGGAGGGGAAGGGAGAGGGGGAAGGAGAGAGAGAGAGGCAGACAGACAGAGACATCAATTGGTTGTCTCCTTCACACACCATGACTGGGGCTGGGGATCGAGCCTGGAACCGAGGTATGTGCCCTTGACCAGAATTGAACCCATAACCCTTCAGTACATGGGCTGATGCTCTAACCACTGAGTCAAAGTGGGTAGGGCACCAAAAAGTTATTTTGGAGTAATTTAATACTTGATTTTCCCCAGAAAGCACCAAAAGGCATCATCATGGGGGAGGAAATCAGAACTTTGTTGGACTTCTTTATGGTGATTTTATAATTCACTGATGTTTTTATTTTGCAGCACATAAATGGAAGGGAACTATAATCTTTTCAGTACACCGTGCCTATAAAGGACTTAATTTGGCCTTGTCGCCTCTGAGTTTGACTTGCTTTGTAAATAAAGCCACCCCCACATCCTGACTCATCAGGAGTGGGTTTCCCCTTATTTAGGGGTGAGAGACGAGGGTCAGGCAGGCACCACAGACCCTCACCTCCAACACATTCTGTCTCGTCAGTACCTCCTCCCCAGGCCTCCTGGGGTTTGACAAACGGGAAGCTCCTTTGTCAGTGGCTGTTGAAAATTAGAGTGAACAAGGTTATTGGGGAACAGGTAGAGCCAAGGTAGACCCAGCCCTGACTGAAGAGCTGACTGTCCCTGTGCTTCTGGAAAGTCCGGCCGGTCTGATGGTGGTGTGCTTGTCCTTCCTCCCTCCTAGTCTCACCTGAGGAAGACCCCACCTACCTACTCCAGCTCCACGTCCATGGCAGCTGTCATTGGCAACCCGAAGCTCCCTTCAGCAGTGATGGACAGGTGGCTGTGGGGGCCGATGCCATCAGCTGAGGAGGAAGCCTACATGGTGTCGGAGCTGCTGGGCTGCCAGCCCCTGGTCGGCAGTGTGGCTACCAAGGAGCGGGTCATGAGTGCCCTGACCCAGGCTGAGTGCGTCCATTTTGCCACCCACATCTCTTGGAAACTCTCGGCCTTGGTCCTCACGCCCAGTGCCGATGGCAACCCTGCCAGCAGCAAGAGCTCCTTCGGCCATCCCTACACAATCCCAGAGTCCCTCCGGGTGCAGGATGACACCAGTGATGGTGAAAGCATTTCGGACTGCCCGCCCCTGCAGGAGCTGCTGCTCACGGCGGCCGATGTCCTGGACCTGCGGCTTCCCGTGAAGCTGGTGGTCCTTGGCTCCTCTCAGGAGTCCAACAGCAAAGTCACAGCCGATGGGGTCATTGCGTTGACACGGGCCTTCCTGGCTGCTGGTGCACAGTGTGTCCTTGTGTCTTTGTGGCCTGTGCCTGTGGCTGCTTCCAAGATGTTTCTCCATGCTTTCTACTCATCCCTGCTGAACAGCCTGAAAGCCAGCGCTGCCCTGGGGGAGGCCATGAAGGTGGTGCAGAGCAGCAAGGCCTTCTCGCACCCTTCCAATTGGGCAGGTGAGAGCACGGCCACCAGCTGGCACCTGTCAGGGCCTCAGGTCGCTCCTCACAGCCCCTGGGAGGGGTGGGCAGGACAGGGCGGGGCACTGGGTAAGGCAGCATGGGAAGGTTCAGGGAGAGAGTCTCCTTTCCTGAGACTTGCCCTCTGCCAAATCAGTCTTACTACCATGGTATTAAAATCGGTTTTTGACCAAGGAGCAGCAGAACAGGTTGCCATCGGAGTGTGAATGTAAAACTCCTCCTGAGGTGTTTGCTGGATGACCCATTTTATGGCACCCTTGTGTAAAATCCCATGACTGTAGAAAACAGTGGTGTGGTAGAAAGACCCTAGATTCGGTATTCGGAAGACTTGGGTTTGATCTAGCTCCAGGTCCAGGCTGTGTGACCTGAGACAGGTTACTAACCCTCTCTGAAGCTCAGTGGTAACATGGGGATGATGGTGGCGGTGCTGATGATACCTCCCTGTCCACGTCTGAGGCGATCTTCGAGGAGTAGGTTGAATGTCTCGTGATGCGTGAGGTACTGCACATTCTGGAGGGCCAAGAGCGCATGCTCTGAGTGGGCCTTTCCGCATGGGGGGAAGGGTCTAGGAGTGAAGGAAGGATGTTCCTGTGACAGCTGGTCACAGGAAGGAGGGCAAGGGACTCTGTCTCTCAGCTCTGTATAATGACCTTCATCCTCCAGGGTCCCTGTTGACCCTCCCATGCGGGAGGCCCCCCTGATAGGCTGCAGTCCAAACCCAACTTGAGGCCATTCTTCCACCAGCCTTCCACCCAGCTGGGGTGGTCTTGCTGACACACCTCATGACCTTCAGTCTGTGGTGGTCTGTCAGAATTGGCCCCTACACCTCCTAGGACTCTGCACCAATGCCATAACCATAGTACTGCTCCATAAAGCAGTGTCTTAAACCTTGAGAAACAGAGAAACATCAAATATACTATTTTCAAATATTTACAATTTGTTTCAATGGCAAAAAATGTACCATCCATGGGTATATTTAAAAGTTGGGAACAAAAGAGTAACTTACTCTTCCTCTCAAAATCAATCCAGTTGACATGTGCTGATATTGGTGCCATTTTCCAAAGTTGGATAAGCCCTGAAGTGGAGCCATGGTGTTCCCAGGCCCGGGCGGCCAGAAAACAAGAATGCAGGGGTCCTGGGTGCGGAGCTGTGCTGCCTGGTGCCAGGCACATGAGCTGTGTTGTTGATATACAGGAACATTTGTTTACATCACCAGCACAACACAGCTGCAGTAATTTTTCAAAAGGGCATCCAAAGACTATGTAGAATCCCTCCTGTTTCTTCTTGTGGCTGGAGAGAAACATTTAGTTGGTCTAACAGGTCTACTCTTTGGCAGCCCTCACCTCACGGGTGGGTAGGCACTGAGGGTCTGGGCCTGGCTACATTGCTGAGCTGCTTCTGCTGCCAGATGCAGAAATCAGAGGCGAAGCCAGTGGTTTCCATGCAATCACAGAAATCTCAGCACACGATGTCTGTTTTACATGCAGTGCAGTAATCACAAGGGGCTTTGGCCCTGCATAGTTGCACAGAACATACTGCAAGTTTTCTGGGAACCTGGTCCGTGCTTGGCCATTTATTCCTGATAGGTCCCCTGCCCCTGTGCAGGCCCCCTCCCTGTCTTCCCAATGTGCTTAGGGACATGGTAGTTTTGCCTTTTAGTTTTAGTGACAGATAAAGTCACCACTTTGTTCTGGGGAAAATGATGTTTAATGATGCTGTCCTGTTACCCTTAAAAACAGCCGTGGCTCATCTGTTCTTTTAGAAAGCCCCTTCCCTTCATTGTTTGGGGGTAGGTTCGCCCAAGGTTGCTTGGTGGCTTGAGGAGACTGCTCTGTCTGTACCTCCTCCAGGCCCTGCTTACAGAAGCGGTGCTGAGAGGAGGGATGGGGTCTTGGTGGACGTGCGGATCTTCCCAGCCTGGCTCGGTCTGCTTGCTCTTACAGCTGGAGGAATACCTTCTCTTGCCCTCTCATCCAGTGGCCCCAAGGCGTCGAGCATACCTGTCCCTCTGTCCCTGGGCATGTAACCAGACACAGAGGAATTTCAGTGAAAACAAAGCAGATTATTCCTTGGGATGGTGGCCAAGCCAGGGAAGGGCCCTGGTGGGCCCAGGACGTCCTTTTCCTGCCTTTGCTAACGGCACAGTGGGAAAGCAGAGAGTTTCCTGAGCAACTCCCATTGCAAATAGCATTGTCCACTCAGTTCTTAAAAGGGAGGGGACCAAAGGGTGACAGACTGCCCCTGCGCGAGTTAGATACCCCACAGTCCAGCCCATAGAGCAGCTGTCCTGGGCGGCCCCCCTCTTTCTAGCTGGGTAACTGAGGCATAGGTGAGCTCGAGACCAGCCCAGGCTGGGAGCAGGGGGGCAGGGTCTCTAAGCTGGCCAGCTGCGGTGATGATGGGCTCTGAGGTTCCCTCTGTGCTCTTCACAGGGTTCATGCTCATTGGGAGTGACGTGAAGCTGAACAGCCCCTCTTCGCTCGTTGGCCAGGCCCTCACTGAGGTCCTGCAGCACCCGGAGCGTGCGCGGGATGCCCTGCGAGTGCTGCTGCACCTGGTAAGGGGATGGGGAGCCCTTACCCAGGCTCCCATGGAAAAGCCGCTGGACATGCACGAGAAGGGGGAGGCTGAATGGTTTCCATAGCACCAGGGCACATGAGCAGGTGGAGGGGACATTGTCCCCAGACGTGTGTGGGTCAAGCCAGTTGGTCCAGGCAGTGGGCACAACGTGTGATGTCACATAGATGGCTGCAACAGTCCTCACCAAGACCCTGGGGAGGAGTGATCTGGAGCAGGGGCCCACACCACAGCTATTTCTGGGCCATGTGGCTTTGGGCAAGTCACCTTGGTGCTCTGCGCCTTTATTTCTTCATCTGGAAGTGGGGATCAAACTTTAACTTTTCAAGGTTATTGCCAGGATTAGAAAGGTGAGTAGCTGGCACACAATAGGGTTCCAGTAGCCGAGAGATGGTATTTATAGTCAGATGACATTGTCCTTCCCCTAAGTTTAGTTGGAAGAGTCCAAGCCTGACCCTGACCTTGGCCAGCCAAGAGGGCCCATGACATTTTATATATATTTGTTATAATGGCAAGGAAGAGTGACATGAAACTTGATTCACCCTTCCACCTTGACAACCTGAAAGGCAGTTTCAAATAATTTAGAATTCTTAGCCTCCTTGGAGTTCTGCCCAAGACAGACCAGACCAGGGGCCCACACCACATCCAAGCTCTTTCCAAACCCCATGCAAACAGCTGCCCCATGGCCACCTCACAGACATGTGCATGAGGGTTCTGTTCGTGCTCAGGAGGGTGGGCCCAGGGAAGTGCTTCACACAGGCCCTGGGAATGGGAAGTTTAGAGTCTGGAGGCTGGGATCTAGGTGGGCATGTGTAACCTGGAAACTTCTGACAGCTCTCAGGCCAGCATTAAGGTAACCCACCTGCCTGCTCCAGGGTAGATGTGCCCACATGCCTTGAGAACTTACCTGCACCGGGAAACTGCAGAGCCCTTAACGTTGCTCAGCACTGGGGCCCTTCTCAGGTCCCTATCACTCCATCACCCTCCTCCTTGCAGCAGCTCCCAGACTTTTTTTTTTTAATACATCTTTATTGATTTCAAAGAGAGGACAGGAGAGGGAGAGAGATGGAAACATCAATGATGACAGAGTCATTGATCGAGCCCGCGCATGTGGCCTGACCGGGAATCGAACCCCGATCGCCTGGATCCCAGGTTGACGCTCAACCGCTGAGCCACGCCCGGCCAGGCCCAGACTGCTTTTCTTAGATAACTGCCCTGTTTGGCTTGCTTCTCTCTGGCCAAGTTGTGGAGCAAGAGCCAGGCCTCTCAGCTGCTTCCCATTTGGCCTTGAGGCTCCTCAGGCACATTTAAGGCTTTCTGTTCTTGGCTTTATCTGGTGTGACTACAGGGCCATAGGTCAAGTTCACCAGCCCTTATGTCCTTTTAATCATTCTGAGTGTGCAGTGTCTCCAAGGCCCGCCCAGCCTGATGGACAGCCAGCTAGCTGGTCGTCTTGCCCAGGAACACTCATTTCTTGCAGCCTATGATGTCAACCTCCAGCATCAGAATATTTCACTGTAATAATAAAGTGTCAGGTGACATCTTGGAATGATTTTTCTGTCCCTCCAGTGATGGCACATGTGCCGCAGGGCACACAGCATCTCAGGATGGACTAAAGTTCTCTAGCAGCTGGCAGGGGAAGCCCTGAGGCAGTTGGGAGTGCTGTGGTGGGCTCATGGAGAAAGTTAACATAGTAGTTACTTGATGGATTCAGCCCATGTGTCCCAGGCACCAGGTTAGGTCCTGAAAGGGGGGAGGGCCACTTGATCACGGAAGAGGAGGTGCAGGTTCTGGAGGCCAGTGCTGTGGGGTGAAGGAGGAGTTGTATGAGGAAGGACGGGTACTGCCAGTCAAGGCCCCGGGAGGGGCATTGCTTGGTGTATGGGACAGTGGATGGGGGTCTTGAAGGTCTGAGAGTTTATCGTAGTCATGGGGAGCCATGCATAGTTTGGGCAGGCCCCTGACTTGAGATTGGCTTTCAGACAAATCACTTTAGTGTCTGTGGAGGAGGGCCTGGAACAGGCGGTGGAGGGTTAGGGGAGGGGCAGAACTCCTTGTTGCACCAGCCTTTGCTGGCTCTGATTATAGCATCTCTTCCCTCTGTGCCCTCCCTTGCAAGAAGCCAAGCCTTACGTAGCTGCAGTGTCATGGTCCTCAGGGCACGGTGCCCTACACTAGCTTCATACATGAGGCGTTTTGTTCCCCAAAGCCACTTGGAGAAACCAGGGCTGCCCCTGAGCAGAGCAGCGCCTCACTCCCCCTTCCCCTTCCAGGTGGAGAAGTCCCTGCAGCGCATTCAGAACGGGCAGCGCAACGCCATGTACACATCCCAGCAGAGTGTGGAGAACAAAGTGGGTGGCATCCCCGGCTGGCAGGCCCTCCTCACCGCTGTGGGCTTCCGGTTGGACCCCCCAGCCAGTGGCTTGCCTGCAGCCGTCTTCTTCCCAACCTCCGACCCAGGCGACCGGCTGCAGCAGTGCAGCAGCACCATCCAGTCCCTGCTGGGTGAGCCTCGGGCAGGGCAGGAGGGGCTGGCTGACTGCATGGGCAGAGGGGTGGGAGCTGTGGCCCGTGTACTCACGAGGTTGCTGGATCTCATAGCTGGGAAGGGGAGAGTGTCCTGAGAAATGGTAGAGCCCCACGCCCAGACTTCCGACTTGGAGGAAACCAGTGCTCTTGACTTGATCTTTTTATCTGTAATGGCGAGGCATTCTTTGCATAGCAGGATGCTTCCCTGGCTCTGCCTCTTCCTGGGTGACATGAGGTAATGCTGGGCAAACAGCAGCTGCTATTATTTAATCAGCAACTTCAGATCTAAGAGCCATGCAGCCTCTCCAAGGTGAAGCGGGGTGCAGAAGCTCAGGGCTGTCCTTTGTGCATCACTCAGAGGGGTGATGTTGCCTCAGCAGCTGAGATGGGGTCCTGGGAATGTGACTGTGCACCTGGAGGACTGCAGCAGGGTCAGGATTGCCACCTGACCCCACCTACCTTTCTTGGAGACCATTCTCTGCTAAATCGACATGGATGTACAGGTCTGGCTGCCTGAAGACCACCAAAGCTGAGCATTTGGGGCTTTTTCTCCTGGGAAGGCAGCAGGACTGTGGGTGCAGAGGTTCCTCTGGATAACATCCATCTCCTTCTTGGTTTAGGTCTTCCCAACCCTGCCCTCCAAGCCCTCTGCAAGCTCATCACTGCCTCAGAGACGGGCGAGCAGCTCATCAGCCGGGTGAGTCAAGCCAAGACGGCTGAGCCCAGGCCTGAGGGCTGTGTCCAGTTGGAAAGAGAGTGACTTGGCCCTAAGTAGGAACCTGCAAGTAATACAGTCTCATTGCTCTTTTCAGCCTTTGTGATTAGAAGGAAAAGGCAAAAGATGGGAGTAAAGAGAATATCTCTCCCCAGTACATGCTAGACACAGGGGAACTAGGTCCCAAGAACTTTAGGGCCTTCAGAGGACACTTAAGGGGCTGCTGTCACCTGTAATCTCAGGGCACTTCCTGAACTCTCCATTCAGTGGCCTCCTTCACCTTGTCATCCCACCCACCAGTTTTTCTGCTGACTGACAAGTGTTAAACAGCCACCTTCCCTAAGCCAGCAGGTATAGGGCCAGCCTGGCTACAGGTGTTCCAGTACTTACTCTCAGATCAAAGTATGAACTCCACTTGAAACAAAATAGCCACTAAGGCACAGCAGTGACCCCACACAACTCTATTTCAAGATACCACTTACCAGGTTTTTAAAAATGTGCTTTCTTTTAAGAAAATATAGATCTAATATATCTGGAGGATTCTAACTCTCTGCACCATGTAGGCCCTTCCCAACTTGGTCTCAGAGCTTCTGATCTTCCTACTGGCCAGAGGATCTGGCACATGCCCCAGCATGACAGCCATGTGTGAGGGCTTCTGGAGGGAGTAGCAACCGCTGAAGAGCACGGAGCAGTTTTCTCTGGTCATCCTTGTGTAATAATTTGAAAAAAACAAAAATATTATATATTTATCAGCAGATATCATTTTAAGCAGAAATATTTCTATGTGGAAATCAAGCTCCTCCATCTAGGATTAACCTCTGAAAACCTGAGTGGTGCCTGGAGTTTTGACATACCTGGGGTTGCTTCCAGCCTGGATTTGAACATAGCTCAGTGATCTGGCTCCTTTGTTAAGCGCCTACTCATTTTGTAATAAGTGTGTTACATCTGCTTTTGAATAGAATCAGGATGACACTTCTGGAATGTTGCATGTGAAAATGAACCCAGGTGGGCTAGAAGCCTATGCTCTACAAAAAGAGAAAGTGAGAATTACACTTGCAGCACAAGACTGAGAGTCTAAAAAGCCAGTTGCTTAATTTCTTGCCTTTGGTGGCAGTATAGGGACTTTCCACCTGATATCCTGCCTGGCCCCACGGAAGTGTCCTGGGCTGACCACTGTGGCTGGTGGATGGTAGACATTTCCTGAGTCACTGGAACTATGGACTTTGGTTTACAGAATGGCCTATTCATACCCGCTGTGCCCCTTCCCACTTGAGTCTGGCCCGCCCTGCTCCTCTCCTGGCAAGGAAGGGCAGGACCTGGCTGACCCTCAGCCCCTTGACCCCGGAGTGCTTCTGGCCTGGGTGTGGCTGTTCATTTTCCTGTGTGTCCCTGCTGACTCTTGCTCCTCTCCCCTCCCGGTCAGAGCCGCGGGCCTGGTGTGGCGCTTCCTAAAGCAGTGATCAGCTCGTGTTGCATAACAACCTGTGCTTGAGTCTAAACTGTCTTCTTTCTCTCTCTTTCTTTCTTTTTCTTATAATCTGCTGGCCGAAGGCTGTTAAAAATATGGTTGGAATGGTGAGTACTACTTTAAGTAGCAACTGTTGTCAGGTGAGCCCCTCAACCCACCCACCCCCGAGGTCCCCTTGGCATGTTCTGAGCTCAGTGCACACGTGCACATGCCAACACACGCTCGGGCTGGGATGACCAGTGCCACTGGCTCAGATGGTCCATCCCCTTCCTCTGCTCTGGCTCCCTTTCCTGCTCAACCCTCTTGTGTTCTTGATTTGACCTTTCAGTTCCATCGGAACAGCAGGGGCAGAAGCCCCTTTAAGTGAGTGACACTGTGAGCCCACACGAGACCCCTGAGTAGTGTTCATAGTCAGGAAATCTGAAACACCAGGGCACTTCAGTGGGTCCTGTGGGTTGAGTGCTGAGGCTCTAGAGAGTAACCTGGGATTCCTCTTCACCATTTACCTCAAAATCATACGGATGATTGTAATTAAATAAACAAAAGAGGGAGATGACCAGGCCTATGACCCACCCCTCTTCTAGGCCCCAAGCCCCTTTCTTGCATTCAATAGCCCCACAGTGAGTGTGCTCAAGGGAAGACGTGAGGCTGGAAGCAGAAACCCTGACTGTGGGCCAGCCCATGACCTTTAACACCCCACTGCCCCTTGAGCTTCCCACAGAGAGGACAATAGGCATGAAGGCACTATACAGAGAATTTCATATGCTATACACATGTAAGGTCATTAGTGATGACAATACAGGTGACACAAGAATAACAGGTGGGCCGGAGGGGAAGTAAATGTTGGGAAGGAGCAAGAACTCACATGCTCCCCCTTACTCAGCTCCACCAGGTGCTGGTCCAGCTGCAGGCCTGCGAGAAGGAACAGGACTTTGCGTCGGCTCCCATTCAAGTCTCCATCAGCGTCCAGCTGTGGCGGCTCCCGGGATGTCACGAATTCCTGGCGGCTCTAGGTAGGACAGACTTCATTGGTTTCTTTAGTTCCATTTTTAAAAAATCTACTTTTCTCCTAATTTCTGTTGGGTAAAGTTGGTAGACTCTTAGGGGTTTTCTATCTTCTTAGATATTTTATTACTCAAAAATAGTTTCCTCAGAGGTTCTAATGCTTTAGTACAATTCCCAAATGGCCCCCCAGCTTTGTCCCATTTCCCTTATGACTTCATGTTTCTCATTTGTAGTCATCATTTGAATATGAATCTGCTAGATTCAGTATTGTTGGGAGTCAGGCTGTGATTAAAAGTTAAGAAAAGAGTCATAAAACAATGGTTTTAATTTGTTTTCTATCACTCTCTACTGGAAACCGGGAGAACGGATACTATTGAAACCACTTAGATTTGACTGTGGGGACCTAGAACTGCATGTACACGATCCTTGTTCAATCCAGGATGCTCACTTTTCATTTTTTAACACTGTGATTCTGCTGGGGCAGCTCCTGACATAACTCCATGGAGCCTATAGGCTGCTCTCCTGCTTCGCTCGAGTGCCTGTGTAACTTGCTTGGGAGCCATTCACACCATAGCTTTTTTCAAACACTTGTTATGTGCTAGGCAGTGTTCTAGGCACTGGGGATGCAGCAGTGAGCAAAGGACAAAAGGCCCTGCCCTCTTAGAGTTTTCATTCTAGTGGGGAAGACGAACAGACAGTAACTACCTAATCTAAGGGAGGCACCTTAGAAGGTGAGGTGCACCGTAACAGAAGCAAGCATCCAAGTCCTAGTGATTGGCCTTGGGGGGGAATGGGGCAGATCTGGGGGGCCGAGAGGACATGGGAAGACCTCTGGTTTTTAACCTGAGAGATGGAGAACCTTTGGAGGATGACACAGCCTGAATTCACTGTTATAGGGACCAGCCATCAGACATGGCAGGGCAGCAAATCCTTAAAGAATTTTTCTTCTGCTGTGAGGCCCAGGTATTCAATATTGGACCATCTTTTCTAACCCATTTTGTAGATGACCTTTCCCAGCCCACCTCAACTTAGTGCTGGCTCCATTTGTTTTTGACCCACAAAGCCCCTGCCGCTACATCCCCTGTGAACCGACACTTTATTGTCCTTTATGATTTGTACTATTTGTTTTCCTGTGGACTTAAAGCAGTCTTCTTGGTGTAAACATAGTAAATTTATATCTAAGTAAAAGTGGTCAGTAGCAAATGGAGCAAGAGTGAGAAAGGCCAGGTCTATACCCAGGATGCATCTCTTTTCACTTCCATGACAGGCTGTAGGGCTAGTGTTGGGGCAGTGACACAGGTGAGGTGAGAAGATGAAGCTAAGACCTTTCTTTATAAAGGAAAAGCTCTTCCTCACACAGGACATAAGTCTCCCTTGGGTGTGGGTGTGACCGAGCGAGCCCTCCTCACCTGTGAAGTGGATGTTTTGATGCCCTTTGCCAGGTCTGTCACTGGCTCTCTGGTCCTGGGGTTGTGGGTCATTTTCACTGATGTTCCTCTACTTCTCTGTACTTTCCAAATTCCACTGATACTCAAGGGGTCAGTCGCTATGCACATACTTATAATTTTCAAATTCTCTGGACTGAGATTGCGAGGGAGGAAGTGAGGAGTCTCTGCAGGCCAGGCATCTAGAGAGGTGGCTCTCTCATTCCAAGGGCTCCAAGGCCCCACGAGACGCCCCCTTTCCGGCCCTCGACTTTAAGCACATGCCATCACAACCCATCACAGGGCTGTCTGTTCTTTAGAGGACTCAGTTCTATTGGAGCAACCAATTAAATTATTTTGGCAAAAGTAGAGGTTTCTTTGCAAATTAATACATTACATTTACATTAATTTGTTTTTAAATGCTGAGTTCTCTGAGACATCCCTGTTGCTTTCAGGCACTGTTTGGATTCAGAGAGGGGAATGTTCCATAGCAACCAGAATGGTGACTCCTTGAGTAACCCTAATTCTCAAAGGAAAGACAGTGTCACACCAGTGTCAGAGCCCTTCAGGAAGAATAAAATATAGACATGGACAGATTTCTCCTTTAGTAGCTACTCTGCCATGAAATGCATAGCATGCCGACATGGCAGCATTACAAAGGACAGATCCCTGTCACTGGAACATTGTGAGATCAGAGGAGGGGAAGGGCCTGGTATCACAGGGCCTGTAACTCAGCCTTCAGCACCAAGTGTTTGTGCAGTTTCAAGTGGAGCTTAGTGGATCTGCTGAGGAGGCTGAGTAAAGATTCTTCAGGCCCTACCTTCTTGCTTGGTGGTGCCTTTCTGTGGACACAGCCCTTCATCACAGGGTGTTTGGCTTCTTCCTCCTGAGTTCCTCCTGGGGCGATGTACTGGGTGCCTCTGCAACATCTCTTAATAAGTCTGAGCGCTGTGGCAATAACTCATTAGCCAGCCTCTGGCTCCGGAGGCTCACACCCTTTGTTGTGCCTGTTCCAAGTCTCAGTAAAACCCCTAGACTTAGGGAGGAGCCCCTCCTGGCCTTTGGCAGAGTGGAGTCCCTGCAGGGTGGTTCAGCCAAGATAGCAGATTCTCCACCATCGCAGACAGCTCATTCCAAAGCCCTCAGTGGTGGACACTGAGCACGTCTGAAGACATCGTCCTTACCCTTGAGAAGCTTCCACCGTCCCACACACCAGCTTTACATATTGGACCCAAAGCCAAAGAGAGTGGCCAGTTTTTGTCCTGGACAGACTCCCTTAAGTGGACGGTTCTACAAAAGAATGGAGAAAACATGTTAATGAGCCTTACTACTAATTCCAACCCTCAGCTCTCAAGAAGGGAATTCAGGCAGGAAAGCAGCGTGCTCTATGAAGGGGCAAAGGGAGCCCCAGGTGGGGCACTTGCTGAGGGGCCTGTGGGGGTTCCCATGACACTGTATGAGGAACCCTACAACTCTCATCCTTTTCAGCTTATGGAATCTTCCCTAAGGAAGCAGATGTTTATACCCTTTGTTCCTCTAGGTTTCGATCTCTGTGAAGTTGGTCAGGAGGAAGTAATCCTGAAAACCGGGAAACAAGCCAGTCGAAGAACCATGCACTTTGCACTCCAGTCCCTACTCGCCCTTTTCGGTAAGAGCTCTGCCCAGTGCCCCTGGGGTCAGACACAAGCCCACCTAGCAACATTTTGGGAAGGGGAAAGAAATGTGGTGAAGTGTTTTTGTGTGTGTATGTGTTAGGGATTGTTCAAGAGCCATAAACAAAAACTCTCTGCTCTCATGGAAAGTACAGTTAAAATACATGTCCTGTATTAGGTGAGGTGCTGCCAAGTGCTATGAAGAAAACAAGCAGAATATACGAGACTAGAACGTGAGAGGGTGGCTGCAGAGCAGACAGAATAGGGAGGAGCGGTGCTCAGGTCACTCAGGCCTGGGAGGGACACCTGCCTGCCTGCCTTCCCTTCTCAAAGAGCCAAACTGGTGCTTGCTTCGGCAGCACATATACTAAAAGGACCAAACTGGCTGCAGCATGAAGACAAAATGCTGGCGCAGAGGGTAGCCATGGTTTGAAGGCAGAACCAACAGGGTCTGCTGAAGAATGTGTGTCAGACAGAAAGAGAGGATCAAAAGTGATAGGTACCCTGTATTTTGGAACAGCTGCCAGAAGGGACTACCTTTTGCTAAAACCTTGAAAGTGGCAGAAGGAATGAGTTTGAGTTTCACCTTGGACATACTCAGTTTCATTTTGTTTTTAATCCTCGCCCGAGGATATGTGTTTTTATTGATTTGAGAGAGAAACATCGATTAGTTGCCTCCAATACACGTCCCAACTGGGGATCAAACCTACAACCTAGGTATGTGCCCTGACCGGGAATTGAACCTGCAACCTTTTGGTGTCCAGGACGATGCTCCAACCAACTGAGCCACCCAGCCAGGGTGGACATACTACTCAGTTTTGAAGTATCCGTTAGGCACCTACATAGGCAGCTGGTTATACGAGTTTGGAGTTCAGGGAGAAGCCATGGTGGAGATAATACCATGGGGCATCATACAGGTCCAAGGGGAAGAGGGCTGAGTCCGGTGAGCACACCGGGGTTCAGAGGTCACAAAGATGAGGAGGGGTCTGAGAAGGAGCCATCATAGAAGGCAGGGTGCCACTGACTATGCAGAACTGAACTGTGAACACTGATGTGGTAGCATGGACATCACTGGTGACCTTTACAAGAACTGGGAGGACAAAAGCCTGAATGGAGCTGGGAAGACAAAGTGGGAAGAGAGACTGTGGAGAGTGACTCCTGAGGAGGCTGCTGGAATGTGCAGTGATGGGGCTGGAGCTGGAGGGATGGTGGGTTTGGTTCTAGGACGGGGACATCACAGATTGCCCAAAGGCTCCAGTCAGAGCAGGAGCAGATGTGGGGTCCTAAGAGATAGGGGGCAGAGTGGAGAGTGCATGGTGGTCAGCTGCAGGGCTGCGGGGTCTCCTAGGGTGTTTCTGTCCCTAGGAGACAGAAAAAGAAAAGATTTCCTTTTTCTAATAGGACTGTGTTTCTCAGGATTATAAGATGAGTTCAAGTTGTATATAAGTAGCAGTTGTATAATTCTCTGCTAGCTTCTATGCATATAAAGAAGAAAAATCAAAACCATGTAGAATTCTAACTGCCCTCTGGGCACATACGTTTTGTCTTAGATTCTACAGAGCTGCCCAAGCGCCTCAGCCTTGACAGCTCATCTTCCCTGGAGTCCCTGGCCTCGGCCCAGTCTGTCTCCAATGCCCTGCCCTTGGGCTACCAGCACCCTCCCTTCTCACCCACCGGTGCAGAGAGCATCGCCTCGGACGCCATCTCTGTGTACAGTCTGAGCTCCATTGCCTCCTCAATGAGCTTTGTCTCTAAGCCTGAGAGTGGGTCAGAAGGTGGGGGCCCCCGAGGACGGCAGGACTACGACAGGTCCAAGAATGCTTACCCACAGCGATCCACCCTGCCTCGGAGCCAGCTGTCCCCCCAGACCCGCCCTGCAGGCAGCAAAGAAGAAGAAGAATATGAAGGGTTTTCCATCATCAGCACTGAGCCTTTGACAGCTTACCAAGAAAACAGAAAGACAGGCTTCTCACCAGATCACAAACAATCCCGAGGAGGTACAACTGGAGGTGTGAAAGTTTCAATAAGCTCCAAAGGGAGCATAAGCACTCCAAATTCTCCAGTTAAAATGACTCTGATTCCCAGCCCAAACTCACCCTTCCAAAAGGTTGGAAAACTAGCAAGTTCAGATACGGGAGAATCAGACCAGTCTAGCACAGAAACAGACAGTACCGTGAAATCCCAAGAAGAAAGCAACCCAAAGCTTGATCCACAAGAGTTGGCCCAGAAAATTCTAGAGGAGACACAAAGTCATCTTATTGCAGTGGAGCGTCTTCAAAGGGGCAGCAGTCAGACCAGTAACAACCCAGAAGATGGCATTTCCATGCCAAATAACGCTGCCATCTTCAGAGCGTCAGAAACAAGTGCGTTCAGCAGGCCTACCCTCTCCCATCAGAAGAGTCAGCCATCACCAATTACTGTTAAACCAAAGCCCCCAGCCAGAAGCTCATCCCTGCCCAAGGTGAGTTCAGGATATAGCAGCCCCACCACCTCGGAGGCGTCCATCAAAGACAGCCCGAGCCAGCACAGCGGCCGGCCATCCCCTGGCTCTGACTCCCAGACTTCCCTGACTGACCAGCCTCTCTTCAAACTGAAGTATCCCAGCTCTCCTTACAGTGCCCACATTTCCAAATCACCAAGGAACATGTCCCCAAGCTCAGGCCATCACTCTCCTGCTGGTAGTGCACCGTCCCCAGCTCTCTCCTATTCCTCAGCTGGTTCCGCTCGCTCAAGTCCAGCTGATGCTCCCGACATAGACAAACTGAAAATGGCAGCCATTGATGAAAAGGTGCAGGCTGTGCACAACCTGAAGATGTTCTGGCAGAGTACACCCCAGCATTCCACAGGACCCATGAAAATATTCCGGGGGACCCCTGGAACGATGACTTCCAAAAGAGATGTCCTCAGTCTATTAAATCTGTCACCTCGGCACAATAAGAAGGAGGAAGGAGTAGACAAGCTTGAGCTCAAGGAGCTGTCTTTGCAACAACACGGAGAAACACCACAAAAAGCCCCTCCCAATGGACACTGGCACAGTGAGACCACCACGTTGAGCACGCTGCCACTGCCCGCCAGCCCTCCTGCTGCAGCTCCCACACGCCCTTTGAGACTTCCTTCTGGAAACGGCTACAAGTTTCTGTCCCCAGGAAGATTTTTTCCTTCCTCCAAATGCTAAAGCATCTTTATGCCCAGTGACTCAGAGTGCAGCAGCCTTGCAGAGGATCTGTTGTTCACTCGGCCTACTCCCTTGTCTGAGTGCAGTCACCCCACAAAGCCACCAGCCACCTCACGAAGGGTGCACTCCAGGCAAGGGGCATTACCATGCCCAGACACCACCACACAACACAGCTGGTGGCTTCTCTGGGACTCGGGGCCAGATTTACCAAAATCCAGGACTTCTGTGGGATTGGTACAGGAGGCTCATGGAATTTCCTACACACTTCACCAAATGTTTACCTTTGAACTCTCTGCTTCTCATCTTTGACATGATTCAACAGGATTTTTGTATTAAAAATGGTCATGGTTCTGGGGTGGGGAGAGGAAAGGGAGCACATATTTTGCTAAGAGGTATATATGCAGTACCTTTTATACACAGAAATTCAAATAGGCTTTTTTAAGGCTTTCAGGTGCTGGTTGGGGGTGGGATATATAAAATCTCTCTAACTTGAATTCTACATGAAAATGTTATATTAGCCAAAAACAGAATAATGGTTTTAAAAATGCCAATGATTTGAAATTAAAATATAGCAATTTTGGTCTCATGATATTGTAATATCACGGTAACAATGCAATAATTCACATCGAAACAGTGCTTCCATCCTGAACTCAGCTTTGTCAAGCTCTACAAATGTCCTTGGGGCCCACTGTCAACCAAACTTGAATTTTCTTAAAAAATTTATGTAACTCGGATCCAGGCATTTTAGAACTATGCAATTGTGATTTAAAATGCAACTTTGTGCTTTTAAAACGTTACTGACCTTTTTTGTACATGGATAAACAACTTGGTTTTATTATCAATAGTACTTTGCATTTATAGCTGTTATTTTTTAAAGCTCAAAAAGTTTTTTAAAATATCAAATTTTGAATAGTCATCAATAAGTAATTATCAAACTTTGGGATGGAAAGACTGAAATTATTATTTCCTTATAGGAAACAAACAAACAAAAATCCTCTGGCTAACTAGATTTAACCAGAATCTAGCCTTCCAGCTCCTATTCCCTTTATTAGCTGCTTAATTTTTTTCTCTTTTCCCATCTCCAGGCCTCTAAAACCACTTCTAACTCTGTTGGCAGGTTCCCACAATTCCAGCACCCCGGGTCTGTGAGCTACACAGGGACCCTAATCTTAGCCGTGACCAGCTCCCCTTGCTCCTGTGTCTGAAGGACAAGCCCCTTCCCTTCCCACAGAAGGCTTTAATGTCCATAGCCTGAGAAATGGGGCCTTTGCTAGGATTTACATCCAAATATTGAATAGGGAGAAACAGATATCCCTGAAAGTACTGTCACAGAAAACAAAGGTGGACTTTTCCTACAGCTGTGACAGGGCACTGAAAAGTTTTGCCAGCTGGGAGGAGACGAAAGAATAGTCTAGGGAGGGGTAACCATTAACACATTTGAATAAAGAAATGAAATGCTGAAAATCACATTAGTACTAAGTTTAGGTGGAGAATTTAAAGAAGCCTCTCTTAGGTAATTCTAAAATGAAAAGCCTGCTATCCTCACTGTGAGGGTATATGTATATCACACAAAGGTGGGCTTGGCCCAGGACACCAGCAATACAGGGAGTGAACATGAGCAGCCTGGCAGGAGGGACACTAACATCAAGACCCACAAGGGAGAGTTTTTAACCTTGGGTAGGATCTTGCTTTATAAACATACACTGACCACTCGCCCTGTTCCTCAGTGTTCTCTGGAAAGAGGAATGGATAATATTTATTCAATTTGTGCTCTTTTCTGCCATGCCATAGAGGTTTTTGCACTTAACCCAATAGTCATGCTGACAAAAGCAAACAACAAGGATGTCCCATTCTAACCCTGATGTAACACTGGAAGAGAAATACTTTATAAAGCAAGCAAGCAATTATGAGGTTGTCTTTATAGGGAAAAAAATAAATGGTAATAAAAGTACTAGTGTAGCAAATGAAAGCCAAGTTTATAGCACTGTGCATTAGATAGCAAAATGAGGTCCTCAATAATGAAGACTGAACCTCACAGTAAATTTCTGAATCCATACGTAGATAGTTGGGCTGTTCCTTTCCCAGCAAATCTCAGCCTCAGCCTCTTTCCCAAGTGCCAAGGAGCCCTGGAGGAAAGGCCTGGGGTCTGTGCTCCGTCTGTGAGGACGAGAGTGCTGCCCCATTTGCCCACCTCTAGCACATGCCCTCCACCACCAGACCGCTTCCCAGGGTTATCAAGCCAGCTAGGAGGATTTGTGGACCCTAACCTGGTTTTAGTCCTACGTACATTGTTGTTATAAGTCTCATGTTGAAAAGCCAAATGGTATGTGTGTGTTTCTGTTCTAGATATAAGCTTCAATGAAGGAAAGCTAAGACGATAAAATAATAGGACCAAATTAAAAATCACGGTAGAGTCATCACTTCTTTATGTTTATTGTCAGTCTTGGTATTTTCTACATGAGTGAAATGGATGTAAAATTAGAGTGAAATTTTCAGGCTACACTGAAAAAAGTATGCACTTAAAAATTATGTGAGATTGTATAATTCACAGATTTCTTTGTACAGATCAGGAATTGGCAAACTACAACCCACAGGCTAAATCTGGTCAGAGGTGTGGTTTTTTTTTTGGTGTTTTTTTTTTAAACATATCTTTATTAATTTCAGAGAGAGGAAAGGAGGGGGGAGAGAGAGATAGAAACATCAATGATGAGAGAGTCATTGATCGGCTGCCTAGCCTGCAACCTGGGCAAGTGCCCTGACTGGGAATCGAACCCCGATCTCCTGGATCCTAGGTCGATGCTCAACCACTGAGCCACGCCAGGCCGGGTGGAGATGTGGTTTTTTTATAGCCATGAGCTAGGAATGAATTTTACATTTTAATGGTTATCTAAATACCTACATAATAATCTTGATTTTGCCTCTTGGCCCACAAAGCCTAAAATATCTAAATACCTGGTCTTTTAAGAAAGTTTGCTGACTCCTGGTATAAATAACAGAAAACACAATTAGAATAATGTGTTGTTTCTACAATCTAGGGGAAGTGAGTGTCAGGTTATGGACAAAATTGATTGGTATGCATGAGAACCCTGAGCCACATGGATAGAAGCGAAGGACACGTCTATAGTCTTTGGCCCTTTGTTTCACTTTGGATGTGGGTAAAATTTACAAAAATATTTTTCCTACTCCATATGCAGATACCATCAGATGCAATTCTTTTTCAGCTCAGGAAACTGGAATGCCCTGCTCCTACTGTACTCCATCAGATGCAAATATACTGAACACAAGCAATAAAATCTCCCTTTCCTAGAAACTTTGGTATGACCACAAAGCAAGGTAGTAGTAGACTCTATCTTAATTCTCACCAGTGAACTACTCAACTACTTTGCCAGTTTTAACTATGTCAAAATACCTAGATACAATTGGGTACTAAAATTTAATTTTGATTCACATTAGTGTGTAGTAGAATGAAAAAAATCTCTCACATCCATCCCATTTGAAAAAAATGGTCCACACTGATACTTGCTGGGTCTCAGCAGGAGACCAGGTGCTGCACATACTGTCCCTATCCTGACCTTGTCTGTCCCAGTGACTCAGTAGGTGATCACAGTAGCAAGTCTCAGTATGGTGCCTGCCTGTCCCGCCACCTCCCATCACAAGAATTGTCACTTTGTTAGTTTCAGTTCAGGCTGGAAAAAATACCACACAGTAATCTGGTTTGCTTTTAATAAGTAGGCAGAAAGTGAAAACTGTATAATATTTCATCACATATTTTGTTGTTTTATCTAAAATGATTGTACATGTAGTTTGTGAACTGGGCCCTTGTTTGTGCCAGAACCTTCAAAGATGTTCCATGTAAAGGACACATGGGGTCACCTCTCCCTTCCTCAGACCCCTTCCCCACTTGGCACTCACACCCCTTGTATGCAGAGTTAGCCATCTTTGGCCTATGTGGACATTTTTGTAAATTACAGTTTCCAGATGGCATTAAACTTTTTATATTATGAAATTTATCATGTAAAAAGAACTTCATATTTTTATTGAGATTGCTAAGGCACTTGGCCTTCCTTTGTGATTTCAGTGTCTATTAAAGCATGAGTTCCCTCGGTTTTAAGTGCTGTATCTGAATCATTTTCTATACACAAATCACACTTTCTAGATGTCTTTGCTGTGTCATTAATGAGCCTGTATCTCTCTCTGGAGGTTTATCCTTATAAATACACTGGACCCTCACTTTTACCAGGAAGAGAGCCAGAGAGAGCGCACAGTGGAGCCAACCTGCATGCACGTTTCTCCAGCCCCAAGGCACTAGGTACTTGCTAGTGGGTGGTTATTTAGATGCTAAATGCTTCTGATCTTCTGTGATTATACTTGGAGGACTAGAAAATTCCACAGTTGTATAAGTATTTAGATAAAACTAAACAGTTCATTACAACCAGGTCCCTGTATCTAAAAACTTCAAGGGAAGTATTTCATAAAGAAGGAAACCAATCCTGAGAAAGGGAGGGAACAACAACAAAACTATTTTAAAAGCAAGACAAACATAAAGTAAGATGAAAGAAACAAATAAAATTACCAATAATCACAAATTTCAGTGAACTAAAAAATCAAAAAGGAGACTGACAGATTATAATAATATGCTACATGCTCTTTAAGAAACTATGCTCTTTGGAAAAAAAGTTACCAAAGCATAAGGCCCCAAAAGGCTGACAGTAAAAGGATCAGCAAAATAGATATTAAAGTAAAAGGCACTAATAAAAACAAAGAAGACTCATTTTCTAATGTTTCAAAAATACTTAGCAGAAAGGCAAAATTCTAAATTTGTGTGCAGATAACCATATAGCTTCAAAATTCATAAAGTAAAAATGTTCAGAACTACAAGTTTAGAAAACTACACTACCATAATTGGAGATTCTACCCTCTACTCTCAATTAGTGACAGATGAAACATAAAAATTTAGAAAGCATATGGTAGGTTTAAACAAATTCAGCAAACAGGCTTATGAAATGGAGGAAACCTGGTCTCTGATAGTAAATCTACTCTCTTCACAAGCACACATGGAGTATTTTATGAAAAGAGACCATGTACAGGCCACATAGCAAGTCTCAGTAAATACTGAGGAATCAGTGCAATTGCCACCATTTCTGCTACATGCTACTTTCAGGACACACATATATAGTATCTAACAGCTTAAGAATAAAATTAACTTAAAATCCCATGAAAGCTGATGGGATACAGTTAAAGTGGCATTTTAAAGAAAAATGTATAGCCTTAAATGTTTATATTCAAGGGTGGTAATATTCAAAATACATAACTGTATGAGCCCCAGCCAAGGACTGCCCATCCTAAGCAGCAGCGCTATGACGCTAGTGTACTGGTGTACATTAGGAAAGGGTGATAACCGAGCTAGGTGACCAATCCAAAGAGTTAGCAAAACGGCAAACCCAGAGAGAAAAGGAGGAGTAAGAACAGTCAGAAATTAAGAAAATATAGAAGATCAAGAAGGGCAAAGTTTGCCAAAAAGACAAAATATACTAATTATTGGGAAGGTTGTGTGTGTGTGTGTGTGTGTGTGTGTGTGAGAGAGAGAGAGAGAGAGAGAGAGAGAGAGAGAGAGAGAGAGAGTGGGTATTGCTAAAGATGTAGCATGACTTAAAAAGAAAATACTAAGAACAATTTTATGCTCATAGATGTAAAAAATGCAAAATAAGACCTAATATGGTGTTGGCATACAAACATAGTTGTGATATTTAGAAATGCAGGGAATGCTGGACCTTAGCTGCAGGAGAGTGGTGCCCTGTCAGGGAGGGAAGCCATGGTATTAGAATCAGGAGCTGCATATAAGTAACTATATACAACTTGACTTATTCACAGATATGAATTATTTCATAATAAATTTAAGAATGAATGAATGGCCTAGAGAGAAGGCAGCTCCCAAGAGCCTCCCTGACCTGCATGTTGCATGCAACACCCCAGGTTCCCCCCCTCACTGAGAGGGTTCAGGCTGGAGCCCACATTGCCAGGGTGTATCACTGCCCACCTCACTGTCCACAGCAGAGTGTATCCCCAAGTGCCCAGGGCTTT